ATGCTCTGGACACTACGCTGACAGACACAGCAAACCTTCTTGCCACAGGTCGCATTGATGTGCCATCCTGGATGAGCTGCACTACCTGAGCCACTTGTGTGGGTTTTAGACTCTGTCTCATGCTACCACTAGAGTGAAAGCACCGCCAGCATTCAAAAGTGACCAAAACATCAGCCAGGAAGCATAGGAACTGAGAAGTGGTCTGTGGTCACCAACTGCAAAACCAGTCCTTTATTGGGGGTGTCTTGCTAATTGCCTATAATTTCCACCTGTTGTCTTTTCCATTTGCACAACAGCATGTGAAATGTATTGTCAATCAGTGTTGCTTCCTAAGTGGACAGTTTGATTTCACAAAAGTGTGATTGACTTGGAATTACATTGTGTTGTTTAAGTGTTCCCTTTATTTTTTTTGAGCAGTGTACATCGCTGTTCTGTTCCAACCAAGACAGAGACAGACAGGCAGGGAGGGAGGGATGCTGTGGTAGCATATGTGCCTGTCTGTATCACATGTCACTGTTATAACATGGAAACAACAGCGACATGGAACTTTTGTTATACGGTCTCTGAATATGGGAGATAAATTATTCGAAGGGCTCTATTTTTGCTGGCGTTAAGCCAGCGCAATTGTCAAACGCACACTCCTTTGCAATTTCTACCTGTTAAAGCCAGCGCTCTTCTTTTTTCAAACCCTAGCACAAGGATCAGTAATTTACCTGTCTTGTGCTGAGGTGGGAGGGGTGGCAATATCTGAGGTGTGTCCTTAAAAACGTGCTCCAAAGTGCCAATTTCAGTATGCGCTATTTAAGACTAACCGAAAGCTGGTCTTAGCAGTAACTCGGTTGGTTATGGCATGGATTTTGACAACGGAAGCGCAGCCTATCCACCTTGTATTTAGAAACATAAAAATAAAAAAAAGTTCTCATTTTGTTTCATTTTATTAAAAACCAAGCAATGAAGGCTGTTTTTTTTTGTCCTGCCCAATGCATTCGCCAAGTAGTCAAGACTATCAATAAAGGGTTTGGCTCGTGAGACCACTTTGAAAACATTTTTAATCACCAAAGCATTATTACAGTTTTTTCCAACTGCTTACACACGTTTTCAAAACGATGTCTCCTTTTTTCAAAACTCTACACACAATTCCCAAAACTGCACACACAAAATGCAAAATGCCTCACATCTCCTTCAAAATGTAACACTGCATTCAAAATGCCATAAACACATGTCAGAATGAAGCATTTACATCAAATGGCAAACACTTCTTTCATAATAGTACATTTTTGGATATACCATGTAAACACTGTTGTTCTAAATCTAAAGCTCTTTGGTCTTTCATAGGCTTATATCTATATTTCAATACAATGTTCTACAGTGAAAGTAATCTGCTGAGAGGGGTAACAAGTACACTGTAAACACCAATGCAATGTAGAAACAGAAAATATTTATTAGGCCAAACATTACGGTTGTATACAGTAGCATACAACAAAACCATAAACATATGTAAACCAAAAGTATATTCTTTAGAATACAGTAAAGAACACAATTGTGTGTGTGGGGTCCCGGGGGGGCAGTCCAGGAATTGGTAGGGGGGGGCAGTCACCAGTGCTAAGCTTCATCTCTTCTCCGGGCTGGGTCTGGCCACAATACTTCGTCCACATCACAAGATACGTTTTCTCTTGCCAAACATCGAGGGAAGTATCTCCTAGCATGGCGTATCCAACCTTGGACAGAGGCAACCTCTATGTCCCCACATGCGTCCTCCATTGCCTGGAGAAGCGGCATGCTGGCATAGGGTTGGCGATCATACACTTTCCAGCGCCAGGCTGAGAATAATTCCTCTATGGGATTTAGAAAAGGTGAATATGGGGGTAGGTACAAAACTACAAATTGTGGATGGGTGACAAACCAGTTTTGGACCAGAACAGCCCGGTGAAAACTAACATTGTCCCATATAACCACAAATCTAGCAGGCTCCTGATCTGGATCAGGGACAAGCATTGTGTAAATTGCATCCAGAAAAGTAAGCATATGGCCGGTGTTGTACGGACCCAGTGTGGCATTGTGATGGAGGACCCCGTTTTGCGTGATGGCAGCACACATAGTTATATTACCCCCACGCTGTCCAGGGACATTGGTAATTGCCCTCTGTCCTATTACATTTATTCCGCGGCGCCTGGTTTTGGTGAGGTTGAAGCCAACCTCATCCACATAAATAAATTAATGCCGAATTACATGGGCATCCATCTCCAATACTCTCTGTAACAGACAAAAGGATATACAGATGAGTAAATATGGTATGTCTGAAGTACTGGAAGTAGTGTTGCATACATACCTCTACAAAGTCATGTCGCAGATTCTTGACTCTGTCAGAGTTTCTCTCAAATGGCACCTTGTAAAGTTTTTTCATCGTCACTTGGTGCCGTTGGAGGATGCGTTGTATGGTCAACAGGCTTACAGCATTGATGTTGTTAAATATGGTGTCATTATTCAAGATATGCTCTCTTATCTCTCGAATCCTAATAGCATTGTTGGCCAAAACCATATTTATAATTGCAGTTTCTTGTACATCTGTAAACAAGCGTCCTCGTCCTCCATGATGTCTTTGCCTTTCCACTCTGTACAGAATTCAAACACAGTATGTGTTCAGCATAGGAACTGTAAACAATGTACAAAACAATTTAGTACAGCATGATAACCAACCTCATTCATTCAATGCAGTGCATAAATGGTTGGCTTAGAGTTACAAATGTTTATGCAATACTATGCAGTCATACGTATTTTACAGTACATTACTGTAATGCTAAAATAGTCATTAGATAGTTGCATACCTGTTCTCATTTCTGAAGGTTCGAATTATGGACGCCACTGTAAATCGACTCAAGTTGGGCTGGACTCTCAGTCCAGCCTCTCTCATTGTCAAACCGTGGTTGATCACATGATCAACAAGTGTTGCCCTAATCTCATCAGAGATGGCTCTCCTTCCTTCTCTTCTTTGCCCTCATCCTCTTCTTCCTCTTCCACTTCCTCTTCTTCCTACTCCTCCTCCTCCTCTTCCAACTCTTCGTCTTTGAATTTGTCCTCGTTGTTGTCCCCTGCCTCTCCCTCCTAATCCTCTTGCTCTCTGTCCATTGTTGGCATCCATTGTTCAAAACAGGTAATCTGACCTTTGACCTATTTATAGGCCTATACTACAGTAAAGCAGTGATTGGTTAGTGATCAGTTAAGCAATTAGTGTTTGCACATGTGAGGAGTGTGTGTGTGACCTGGTGAATAAGTGTAGCATTTTGATTGGTTGTGTTTGGAAAAGGAAAGCAAGTCACTCCCTGTTAGATTTTTGTGTTTTTGGTAGATAATTGTGTGTAGTGTTTTGAAAAAAGTGTTTGATGCAATTGACAACTGAGTCAAAGGCTGAGAAATAGCTTATGGTTTTGGAGATTTGGTGTGTAGTTTTGCACTTTGAAAAAACTGTAAAAGATCAAGTTTGGCAGCAGCAAAACATCCTCTTTTTATCTATGTAGGGTATTACCTAATTTTAGCCAGCTCCTGTTATTATCTGGGATGTGGGTAAAAAGCCCTTCATGTAGGCTATATGCCCAACATGGAACGAGAGATGAGATCATCCGATGACACTCACATTTAGAAACATTTCACTTATTTTCATCTAACAATTGTTTGTTTTCCGTTTCATTTGATTAAAAAACAAGACCTTATAGTAGTTACCCTACTATTGCGAAAGCTGGTTCAACAGCAATGTGTCTGGTGTCTTTCTTATCATGGCCATGCAGTAGCCAAGCAGCCTAGCCATACAATGTTTCTAAATGGTCTACTCCTGAGGCTTTTGCCGACATGCTTTTGCATTATTCACAATTCACATAGGCCTACTGTACCTGCAGTGCATACTCCATTCGGCTTGTATCCATTCCCATTTCCAAAGAGCGCCTCTTGTCCGGTTATCAAAAGACGTGCTCCTTCAAATTAAATTAAATTATTCAGTCCTATAATACAGTATCAATGGTAGGCCCAGGCTATATCTTGCTTATTGAGAACGCGCCTCACACTTACCACACCATTTAGTATTTTTTATTTGAGGAGAAGTGCGATGCGTAAAGGCCTATACTCGTTGAAGCAATTAAAACAATGTTGACTGTCAACACTCCAAACATATTGAGCGAACACTGGATGTTTTGTTTACTGTTGCTATCACTCGTTACCGTGCCCCAAGCGGAATTGGGGTTGATGACCACACAAAAACCGGCAATAACCTACAGAACTTTAGTTACCTGGTGAAATCAAAAAAGACAAACCCATGCAGTGTTAAGCCATGGAATGCCTTGATTGGCCAGTGAGTGGCCAAGCCCTCGTCACACCTACAACTTGTTTATTCATCAAAACCCAGCCCTTTCGCGCTACCGCCAGCTATTGCGCTCATAATTCCGGCTGTGAAAATAGCTAAAATATTTCTGACACACCCCAGGACCTATAGCGCTACCGCCAGCGCTTAGATTTCCCAATGTGTCAGGTTTGTTAAAATAGAGCCCTAAGTGTATGTAGCTAATTAAATACTTATTGGCAGGAATCTTTTAAGTGAATAAGTAAATACATTCACAAACAGCTTTTGATAATCATAGCTAGCACAATATAAGACTGCAGTATACAGTATGTATTTCCCTCAGTATTTTCTCTATAACTGTCATTTAAGCTCTCTCTGTAACATACAGTATAAAGGGATTACGGTAGTAGATGCTTTTAGAAAGTGTGTCAGCAGTGCTACAGAGTTGTATCCATTTTTAAAAGGGCTTAGCCTCTTTCTTTCTCTCTCTCTCTCTCTCTCTCTCTCTCTCTCTCTCTCTCTCTCTCTCTCTCTCTCTCTCTCTCTCTCCTCATCTCCTCTCTCTCTCCTCTCTCTCTCTCATCTCTCTCCTCTATCTCCCTCTCCTCTCTCTCTCTCATATTCCAGTTCTCACTAACATGCAAACTCGATTTTCGATGTCACTACACTACAGGAGTCGCATGGGAGCATTTAGGCCTCGTAGTGTGGGCCAACACAAAGACACCAAGCTCAGCCGCAGCAGCCCTCATGGCAACAACTGTAATGTGGGAACCGTGTTTGGGTTATCTCAGTCTCTTCTCCGGGAGCAGAGCTGCCTTCCTGCTGAACCCAACTCCACGGGCCTCCAGCAGCACCAGTCCAAAGACTATGTTACCATACAACTAGCTACTTAATAATGCAGCCTAGTATGCCTTCCTGCATGGAGAAATACTCTTGTACTCTGTAGTTCTCTTCTGTAGTTCTCTTCTGTAGTTCTACCTCAAAGAGCATGGCTTGAGTAGCTAAGACAATCCCCCCTGCTGCACACTTAAGCTGTGCACTGCCTTAGAAAAGACTTTGTCTGCATTGCTTAGGTTTTTCTGCCTGCCAAATGCAATAGATGGTGCGACCAAGTTTGTCTGAGATGAGTTTGTATCGATCGCTGGTCCTCCCTCCCGGCTCTAGACTATAGCAGAGGACAACAGGTAAGAGGCATGGTACTCTGCTGGCGCTACGAAGCTTTAAAGATATTTAGCTCTAATTAAGTTTCTCCTCAGAGAGAGAGAGAGAGAGGAGGGGGGGGGGGATAAAAGGCTCCCAGCAGCAGGAATGCAGCACAGTAATCAATCAGGTTCCTCTACTGTTAGTGATAGTGCTGCAGGTCCTACCCTCGTTCCCTCACAGGGAAAATGGCCGCTCCTGGGCATACAGACAGGGAGGAGTGTTGTGTTATTCAAGAAGCCCTGACTTCACCTCAACCTGCCATACTAGGATCCGTGACCAGTAAAGTGGGGGATATCCCCAGTGCCATAACTCCTCCAGTACCCCCAATGCCCTGTGTAAGAGAATGATTGATGACTGACACTTTATCATCTCACTTTTCTTGGTATTAGGCTCTTTCAGCACCACTGGAGAGAGATTTATTGAGAACTTATCTGAAAAGTAGCGTGCTTGGTGTGAATATTATCAGCCTCAAGCTCTTAGCTATGCCAGTGTGTGCTATTGTATGAAGGGTAACATTCAATTAACACTTGATTTTACATGGTATTACAGTAGGTGGTTGTTGGGCTACATGTTATGAATCTACTCGTTCAGCTTTTAGAATGGAAAGAGTAAAGCCAGACAGATGAACTGCACTGTCTGTCTCAGCTCATCCCACTTGACTTGCTCTTGTTTCATGTCTCAAATAGGAAAGCTTAGATTATTAGAGCATGATGGCTAGCTATGGTGGATTGGTTGCCTGTTTCAATCTTTTGGTGCATAAAGCATCTCAAAAGCTTATTTGTCTCTCTGTCTCGCTCTCTCTTTCTTTCTCTCTCTCTCTCTCTCTCTCCCCTTCCCTTGCTCTCTCTCTCCCTCTCTCTCCATCCCCTCCTCTCTCTCTCTCTCTCTCTCTTCCCCTCCTCTCTCCCCCTTCTCCCACCCTCTCTCCCCCTCTCCCCCCTCCCTCTCAGGTGTGTAAGGTTCTGAACACCACCAGTATGAGTTGCTTTGCCCCGTCCCTGGTGGCAGAGTACCGTCCAGGTCTGGACACGGCCAAACACGCTGATGAGTTTGGGTTCATCTTCAACAACGTCCAGACTCTGCTGGTGTATAACAACACCGCCTTCCTCTACTACCCCAACCCATACTTTGAACCTCTCAGCACCAATGGAGTCCTGGAACAGAAGCCTGGATCGCCCATCATTCTCAAGGTATGGCAGAAGGACATGGGATTGTAATCAATCAATCAATCAATTAAATTGATTCATAAAGCCCTTTTTACAGGGCCTTTACAGTAACTCTATTTAGAAACCAAGAGAGGGTTTAGGGTATTTGAATGCAACCATTAATCTGCAGTTATGCCTGAGGTATAAACATCCTAGTATGGCATTGTGTTCTACAGTATAACTATCATAACAGCTGTACCATAACAAACAATACTTTATTTTAAGTAATAATGTAATTTAGCAGTTAGTACAAGTGTCCCCCTCTCATCCCCCTCTCCTTGCTCTCCCCCCACAGGGCAGAAACCTGGTGCCCCATGCCTCAGGGGGGGTGAAGCTCAACTACACTGTGTTGATCGGGGTGACCCCCTGCTCTGTCACTGTGTCTGAGACCCAGCTGCTGTGTGAGCCCCCTAACCTTACGGGCCAGTACAAAGTCATGGTACGTCAGTCAGTCTATCCAAACACACGCATGCACACAGGGGCTCACCACATACACATACACACCCACACATACACATACACACACACACACACACACACACCCTCTTCCTGTCTCTCTATTCTGTGTGTCGGCGTGTCTATGTGGTTTCTTTTCCATAACGTTTGACCTGTAATCTCCATTGTTTTGGCACATTTGTGGTTGTTCATTCAGCTGAGAGAAACAGGTCAAAGAGGGAGCAGTGTGACTGGGCTCGAGCCGTCAAAAGGTTCTGTTAGAATCCATTGCAATTATTTCTACTAGTCTGCTCACTTATTGAGTGCAAGCCCCCAGAACTTCACTCTTCACTCTCCTCGATGACGGGGTGTGTTGGTGTGTGTGCATTTGTGTTGTGTGTCTGTGTGTGTGTGTGTGTCTATGCACAATGTGTCTGTACACTGTATGGGTTTATTAAACTGAATCTAATGTGTGTGCGTGCATGCCTGTGTGTGTGTGTTTGAATGTGTGTAACTATGTGTGTGTGTGATATTCAGGTCCAGGTGGGCGGTCTCCACGTGTCTCCGGGGTCAGTACACATCCTGTCAGACAGCCTGCTCACACTCCCCGCCATCGTCAGTATCGCCGCCGGCGGAGGCCTCCTCCTCATCATCGTCATCCTCGTCCTCATCGCATACAAACGCAAGTCGCGGGAGAATGACCTCACCCTGAAGCGCCTGCAGATGCAGATGGACAACCTGGAGTCCCGGGTCGCCCTGGAGTGCAAGGAAGGTGGGTAACACTTTATTTAGATAGTCCAGCTGTAGATGCTCTGCAGACTAGCAGTAGGCTATCAGTAACATTGATATGCATCAATGCATCTAGGGAAATCCATAGACATTCAACAAATCAACCATAGACTATTAGTTGTAACTCATAACACAAATTATCGTGTAGACTACGGAAGGTTAGTTAAGCCCAGAGACAACAAAGTAATCCAATTACATTGGAAACTGACATCAAAATGTCTTTGACGAGTACTGCAATTACGTTTGGTCCTCTTCTGCTCTACTTGGCTATTTTTGAGACACTTTGATTCCGGTCTCTTTGAAGGGCTAATGACTGAGCTAGCTAGCTGAGTTCACAATTTAAATGGTGACAGTGAGAGTGCATTGACTGGGCTCCACAAAGTCATGGTATAATTTACATTTACATTTAAGTCATTTAGCAGACACTCTTCTCCAGAGCGACTTACAGTTAGTGAGTGCATACATTGAAAGACACAAATGGGTGTTTCTGCGTAGTAAGTCAGTTACTGGTACTGTGTGTTGCATAATGTAATATGAGGTATTGTGAATCTGGGTCAGTCAGTCAGGTTTTGTCTGACACACATAGTCTCTGCTACTTCAGTTTGCCCTCTTTGTGACCACGATCGTTGGACACTATATCCACATGGTGCTTGTCTATTGTTCACACCCACTGACTCATTCACACACACACACTTACTTACAAACACTGACTCACACACTGATTAAACACAATGTTTTCCTATGAACAGATTTGGAATGGCATATCATCTTTATTTCATGCAGGCATTTTCTGTATCACGGATGCACTGAACGCATAGTGTGTGTGTGTGGCATGTGTGTGTGTGGCATGTGTGTTCTGGTCTGTGTGTGTGTGTGACAGTGTGTGTTTCAGTTTGTTGTAAAGGCATGGTCTCGTTTAAGATTGTTAGGCAGGCTTAGTTAAAGCCTGATACATCTGTGTTAGTTTTGAGCTCTAATGTCCTACACACACACAAACACTCACACACACACTCACAAAGGCCCCTGCACACTAAAAAATGTGGGTTCCTCAAGGGTTCTTTGGGAAGGGTAATGGTTTTATGTGGAACCATACTGACCCAAAGAACCCTTTGAGGTTCCAATGGTTCTTTGCAGTTAAAAAAAGTATGTAGGGGCGGTGGCTCATTCGAATATCTTGGGACATGGTTTGCGCACAGCTCTTTTTGTGCAACCGTGAATGAGTGTGTCATTCTAGTTGATCTAATGTGTTGTGTTATGCTAGTACATGTTAAATATGACTATGGCCAGTGACGGTGTCTTGGGAAAGACTCACGTATGGCCTCGTGTCAATTGAGAACGGTTGACTAAGTCAGTTGTTTGATTTGATTTGATTTAGTTCTCAATTCTCTCCTTATGTTATGTATCCCCTCCAGTCACCCTGAACACAGCTTTACCACTCTGAATGTAGAATGTCCCAACATATTGAATTAAATGATGTATAGAAGACAGGTTGATGTTTATTGTCATGAATCTTGCCCTTGAGGCAGAACTGAGTGATTTCCGCTAGATGAGTACAGCTGCAAAGTCGAAATTGTCTATATCGTAAAAGTTAATGAAAACAAAAATTAGCTTTTTGGTGTTAATTTAAGGTTAGGGTTAGGCATAATGGTTAGCAGTGTGGTTAAGGTTAGGGTTAGGTTTAAAAAAAGGTTTTATGACTTTGTGGCTGTGCCAGCTAGTGACCACTCTGTAGAGCTGCCTCCATGGCAAGATTAATGACAATAAATACCAACCTGCGTATAGAAGGTGGGACATACAGAATAAATAGTATACTAGAAGGGTATATCCTCCAAACATAGGAGGTTGGTGGCACCTTAATTGGGGAGGACGTGCTCGTGGGAATGGCTGGAGCGGAATAAGTGGAATAGCATCAAATACATCCAACATATGGTTTCCATGTGTTTGATGCCATTCCATTTGCTCCTTTCCAGCCATTATTATGAGCCATCCTCCCCTCAGCAGCCTCCACTATCTCCAAATGTCATTGTCTTATTAATCTGGGTTGTGTCAGGGCAGTGGCAGACACGGCTGCATGGGGCTACAGAGCTAAAGCCCTGGCCACAGACAGAAAGATAGGCAGAAACACACACATACACACACACATACACACACACACAGGCGAGGAGACAGACCGAGAAGTCATGTTTAAACCAATAGCTGTGGTCAGGAGGAGTTTAGTGCCCAGAGGGTGGATTTAGAGGGGCAGATAGGTACCTGGGTTCCACTCCAGGGGTCTGAGTCTGAGCCCTGGGCTGGGGTAGCAGGGGGGCTGGGGGGCTGGGGGGTAGGCGGGAAATATATGATTGGCTGTAGAGAGGCCTCCCTCAGGGCAGAGCAAGACTCAGTCAGGATGGGGCCAATTAACCACCTCTCACCTGCAGCCTCTAACAGCGGGGGACTGACACACAGGAGCTCAGATACTGTACAGTACAGCCAATTTACTGGCCACCAGAAGTAAATATGTGTGTGTTTGGGGGGGTTGTTATGTGTGTTGTGTGTGTGTGAGAGAGAGAGAGAGAGAGAGAGAGAGAGAGTTTTTCTTCCATGAAGTGTGTCTTGGGTTCAGTGTCAGGATCACCATAGAGAATGGGCATACATATTAATGCATGTAGATGTGCTCCATGGTTTCAGATAGATTTTAAACTAGCAGGTCTGGAATCAGTTGATCTATACTAACAGCCCTGCTCATGTCTGCTCTCTCTACCCCCCCCCCCCCTCCAGCCTTTGCTGAGCTGCAGACGGACATCAATGAGCTGACCAGTGATCTGGACAGAGCTGGTATCCCTCACCTGGACTACAGGACCTACGCCATGAGAGTCCTCTTCCCTGGCATAGAGGACCACCCTGTTCTCAGAGAACTGGAGGTACAGAGAGAGTGGAGGGGGGAGAGGGAGAGGGAGAAAAAATGGAGAGGGGGGAGGAAGTGGGAGAGTTTGATAGGGAGAGAGTAAAAGAGAGGGGGGAGAGAGCGAGAAGAGAGAGATGTGGGGGAGAGAGAGAAGAGAGAGAGATGTGGGGGCGCGCGCGAGGCGCAGCTGTGCGGCGCGCGCGCCGCGTGCGCGAGAAGAGAGGCGGCGGAAGCGCGGCGATGTGGGGAGAGAGAAGAGAGGGAGAGCTGGTGGTAGAGAGGCGCGCGGGTGTGGGGAGCGGCGAGGAGCGTGTGGGGGCGCGGCGCGAGGAGGAGCTTGGGAGGGGCGGGCGGGTAAGAATTGAGAGAGAGGGGTTGAGAATCGATGGAGAAGTGATAAAGAGAGAGAGAATGAGGGAATAGTGAGAGCTTCAACATCACTCCCCTAAGGCATGCCCTCCATAAGCACCACAGTGCCCAGAGGGAGACTGATACCAGCATGCAGCTCTGCAGCTCTGCCTCTCTACCCTCTGGCCTCACACACACAGACAAACACACACACCAGCACCACACACACACACACAGCACACAGCACACATACACACACAGGTTCCAGTACAGGGTCCCGGCGCGCGTCTATTTCACCCACCAGCAGCTCCTTCATCAGGAGTAATGACGTGGGTAATATCCTGTTCACTGGCGGCCATGGGACCCACCTCCTCTACTGGGGAAAAACTGACTGGAACACACTCAATACACTCCCTTTTCAGTGTAACACACTGGGATTCTTTATAGGAGAGTACAGGGTGTGTTTGAGTTGCTGGATGCGTTGACTTCATAAGGGATACAGAGACCTCATTCAGGAGAAAGGTCTAATAGGTACAAAGTATGTCATGTAGTAGTTATGTCAAGCATTTAACAATCGGAATGTGTATAAACATGTTTAAAAACCTCTTAACAGACTGCCACACAGAATCTATATGTCGTCATGTGGTACAGTATTAACCCTTTGTATCCTGTCCTGCCCTGTCCTATGTGTGTAGGTGTCAGGTAACGGTCAGCTGAACACAGAGAAGGCTCTGAAGCTCTTCGCTCAGCTCATCAACAACAAGGTGTTCCTGCTAACCTTCATCAGAACTCTGGAGCTCCAGCGCTCCTTCTCCATGCGTGACCGCGGCAACGTGGCATCGCTCATCATGACCGCGCTGCAGGGCAAACTGGAGTACGCCACCGACGTGCTCAAACACCTGCTCTCCGACCTCATCGATAAGAACCTGGAGAGCAAGAACCACCCCAAGCTGCTGCTTCGCCGGTAGGAGACATACACATTCATACACTGCTACACAGACACATATACATGCACAAACGCATTATGTACACATTATGCATGTACGCACATACACACACATCAATGCACACACATACACACACATACTCACACAACTGCTATGGGCATACTGGAAGGGGAAGTAGAGATAGTGGAGGTTGAAAACAGTGGGAGGATGTTGATTAAAGATGGATGCCTCAACGAGTGGATCAGAATGGTGCATTCATCTGCCACTTGTATTGATTCCATTCATCGAGATAATAAGTACTTCATTTACAATGGCAAGAGATTCATTTGATCAACAATGACTTCTCTTGTGTAGAAATATCCTTTGAATTCTCAGCAAAGATGGAAAGAGAGTTGTACCGATTTAGGGTCTTAACTTGAGCCAGTTTGCAACAGCAGGAAAATAATCCTGCAGCAACAGGAAATGTGAATTATTATGTGGATTATAATTAATGGACATTTTTGTAGGGTTTGATACATTTTTCGTAAAGGAAAATCAAGTCTGAAATTTTAAAGTGGAAATTACAAACTTCAGAAGCCTTTTTAAACCTCAAATACACTACAAGTTTTACATTTCCATTGCAGGAAAGTCCTCCTGCAACAGGGTGATCAAATGATCTCAACTTCCCCAGTTCGAGGACAGGAAGACAATCAGAGATGGACGAGAGAAAGAAAAAGCAAAGGAAGACAGCAGAGCGCGAGCGAGAGAAGGAGAGAGAGAGAGATGTGAAAGAAGAGAGAGAGGAGAGAGAGGGAGAGCGAGCAGAGAGAGAGGAGAGCGAGAGAGAGAGAGAGAGAATGATCGATGGATATAGGCGAGTCGAGCTCTCAGCGAGAGAGAGAAAGAAAGAAGAGAGAGAGAGGAAAGGAAAGAAAACGAAAATAGGAGGGAGAGAGAGGAGAGAGAGAGAGAGAGAGGGAGAGGAGAGCAGAAGGAAAAGAAGGAGATAGAGAAAGGAAGAAAGAGAGGAGAGAGAGAGAGAGAGAGCGAGAGAGAAGGAAAGACAGAGAGAGAAAGGTAGTAGAGAGGAGAAGAGCGAGAGAGAGAGGAGAGAGAAAACAAACAAGAAGCGCTAAGCACACACCCACGAATATCGAGGAATCTCAACTCAGTCAATACCCCTTTCTGCTCTCCGGGGGCTCTCTCTCTTTTACCTTACTCTCTCTCCTCTATCATCTCTCTCTCTTCTATCTCTCTCTCTCTATCTCTGACTCTCTCTCTCTCTCTCTCTCTCCTTCCCTCTCCCGCTCTCTATCTCTTTTCTTCCCTCCCCCTCTCTCTCTCTCTCTCCCTCCTCTCAGTCTTAGAGTCCACGGTTGTACCACTGTCAGTCTCACTTATCCTCTAAACTCTTAAACTCTGGCTCCTCATCAAACATTCAGCAGCAGCTCAACTTTACTTCTCTCCTTCTGTCTCCTTCTGTCTCCTATCTAGATCGTTTTTTCCGCAGGACTCAGGCCGTTGTGCTAAATCTTTTAGTGTATCTTCGAGACTGTTTTATAGGTGTATGGATGGGTTAGCAGGTGACGAGCAGAACAGTCCCAGTCCATCCTTAACCCCATCCCCAGTGTTGATCACTCAGCTCCTGTTCTCTAGCCCAGCTGTGTGAGAAGGACACAAGGACTGGCCTCCTCATATGACAGACTATTCTTAATCCGGGGGGTGGGGGGTGGGGGGGGGGTAGCCTATACTTTGTTTTGGCTCTCCTGTTTCATTTTATTTGTTCTGCTCTGATGGCAGCTCATCAATTAGCAGCTGATAACAGGATGGCTGGGCCTGTTATTCTGTTTATGCCTGAACCCTCTCTACCTATTAATGAATCTGCCTTCCATCTCTTTCTGTCCTGATGTAGTGTATGGCTGTGTGCCATGTCACAGTGAGAGGGATAGTAGACAGCTAAGTGAGTCTACAGGTGGGCCATAGGGAAGTGCATGACTAAAATGTAATGTAATGTAGGACTTTAGCAGAGGCTCCTGATGGCTCCTTGGGAAGTGTAAATAAAATATGTTGTATCTCTATATCGGTGTCGTAAATGGCACCCTATTACCTACATAGTGTACTACTTTTGACCATTTGGGACGCATCCTAAATGTAGGCGTTGAACTGTACAGTATCTGAGGCAGCAGGAGAAACTCTATCAGTGACTCTCTAGTAGTGCATGACTGTGTAGTATGAATTATTACTGACTGTAACAGCACCGGACCTGGTCTGCAGGGTCAGAGGAGAGAGCCACCACACATACAAGAAGTTACCTGGGTCACTGAGCCTACAGCTTCCTGGTTCTTTCTCATCCATATTACATATGACATATAACAGGGGTACATCATGGTGGGTTGAGAGTGCACTGGCTGACAAGGCCCGCTCTGAATGGCTCTATCTGCTGCCCACGCCCACGCGCACACACACATACACTGTGCTCTGCTGTAGCAGAATGCATTTCTGTAGTACTCACAGTAGAATATCCATGACATCCATAACAGGGACCCTGTGGATATACATGTATATGGGAGCTGTAAAAATAACAATAGCTGTCCCCATGCTTTAGCGGGTTGTGGCTTTCAGTCCTGAAATATATACAGTTGAAGTCGAATGTTTACAAACACGTTAGCCAAATATATTTAAACTCAGTTTTTCACAATTCCTGACATTTAATCCTAGTAAAAATTCCCTGTTTTAGGTCAGTTAGGATCACCACTTTATTTTAAGATGGTGAAATGTCAGAATAATAGTAGAGAGAATGATTTATTTCAGCTTTTATTTATTTCATCACATTCCCAGTGGGTCAGAAGTTTACATACACTCAATTAATATTTGGGAGCATTGGCTTTAAATTGTTTAACTTGGGTCAAACGTTTCGGGTAGCCTTCCACAAGCTTCCCACAATAAGTTGGGTGAATTTTGGCCCATTCCTCCTGACAGCTGGTATAACTGAGTCAGGTTTGTAGGCCTCCTTGCTCGCACACACTTTTTCAGTTCTGCCCACAAATGTTCTATAGGATTGAGGTCAGGGCTTTGTGATGGCCACTCCAATACCTTGACTTTGTTGTCCTTAAGCCATTTTGCCACAACTTTGGAAGTATGCTTGGGGTCATTGTCCATTTGGAAGACCCATTTGCAACCAAGTTTTAACTTCCTGACTGATGTCTTGAGATGTTGCTTCAATATATCCACATAATTTTCCTTCCTCATGATGCCATCTATTTTGTGAAGTGCACCAGTCCCTCCTGCAGCAAAGCACCCCCACAGCATGATGCTGCCACCCCCGTGCTTCACGGTTGGGATGGTGTTCTTCGGCTTGCAAGCAACCCCCTTTTTCCTCCAAACATAACTGTGGTCATTATGGCCAAACAGTTCTATTTTTGTTTCATCAGACCAGAGGACATTTCTCCAAAAAGTACAATCTTTGTCCCCATGTGCAGTTGCAAACCGTAGTCTGGCTTTTTTATGGTGTTTTTGGAGCAGTGGCTTCTTCCTTGCTGAGCGGCCTTTCAGGTTATGTCGATATAGGACTCGTTTTACTGTGGATATAGATACTTTTGTACCTGTTTCCTCCAGCATCTTCACAAGGTCCTTTGCTGTTGTTCTGGGATTGATTTGCACTTTTAGCACCAAAGTACGTTAATCTCTAGGAGACAGAACGCATCTCCTTCCTGAGCGGTATGACGGCTGCGTGGTCCCATGGTGTTTATACTTGTGTACTATTGTTTGTACAGATGAGCGTGGTACCTTTAGGCATTTGTAAAATACTCCCAAGGATGAACCAGAATTGTGGAGGTCTACAATTTATTGGTAGAGGTCTTGGCTGAATTCTTTGGATTTTCCCATGATGTCAAGCAAAGAGGCACTGAGTTTGAAGGTAGGCCTTGAAATACATTCACAGGTACACCTCCAATTGACTCAAATGATGTCAATTAGCCTACAGAAGCTTCTAAAGCCATGACATCATTTTCAGGAATTTTCCAAGCTGTTTAAAGGCACAGTTAACTTAGTGTATGTAAACTTCTGACCCACTGGAATTGTCATACAGTGAATTATAAGTGAAATAATCTGTCTGTAAACAATTGTTGGAAAAATTACTTGGGTCATGCACAAAGTAGATGTCCTAACCGACTTGCCAAAACTATAGTTCGTTAACAAGAAACTTGTGGAGTGGTTGAAAAACAAGTTTTAATTACTCCAACCTAAGGGTATGTAAACTTCCAACTTCAACTGTATATATATATGGTCAATATATTTCAAGATATATGTGAGCCAAATGTTTTCTCTGCATTGCTCTGTCCATATAGTTTAGCTTTAGTTAGATCAGGGTATATGGAGTATGTAGCGTTGAGTTACTTGACACTAAAAGCATAAACATGCACACGTACTTTAAAAGCAGATAGGATGAGCAAAGCGAGACAATAATAAGCTAATAATAGTATCCACCTATAATAAGGACACACTAAAGAGACACACAGGATGCTTAATGAAGATATACAGTTGTAGGTATACACTTTAAAGACAGCACTGCCCGAAGGCATTCCCACTCATGTCATGTAAGTACATTTGTGTGTGTGCCTGTGTGCGGCATGCGTGTGTGTTTGTGTGTGCGAATGCCTGTGTATATGTGTATGTGCACTCATCGTGTGTGTCCGCTGACGTGTGTGTGTGTGTTGACCACAGACTTTAGCGGTGTGTGAGTGAGGCAATATTGGGGTAGCTAAGTGTCAAGGGGGGCTGGGGGCCTAGGGACGAGGAGGGCTGGAGGGCTTCTCTCTCAGACAGGTCAGCAATAGGATCTGATGAGGCTGCTCCCATACTGACTGAGACCTTTTAATTATTGAGCCAGTCTCCAGCAGAGCGCTCCATTGAGATGATGGAGTGCCATGCTAGCTATTTCCCCATCACCGCAGAGAGAGAGATTGAGAGGATAGTGAGAAAGGGGGAGAGAGCGAGTGGGAGGCAGAGTGAGAGAAAAGAAGCCAAAGGGAGAGAAGGAGGACGGAGAGGGAGATGGGGGAGAGAGAGATGAAAGCAGAGGGAGCGAGGCAGAGGAAGGGAAAACTAGGAGAGGGAGGATGCCGATGGGCACCAGTCTTGGCCACTGTGATCTTGTCTGAAGGTGTTTCTGAGTTACCAGGGTGCATTAGACATGCAGCACGCCTGTTAACATTGTAATTAGCATTTACTCTGCTCTCGCTTTCTCTCTCTCTCTCTCACACACACACACACACACACACACACACACGACTCTTTCTCTTTCATCACACATCTAGTTGAAGACGAGCTTCACATCAATAGGTCAGTAATTTACTAACTGCTAGTATTTGACAATTTTATCTATTCTTCGTAGATGTATAAATGATTGACCATTGATCAAACAAAGTTTTGTTAACCTTATACTCACCCTGTTACTACAACTTAAATATAATACTACATATTGAGCTTAGGAATAGGCTACTGAACCCCATATTTCTACCTGAGTATTTCTTCGTAAATGTCTCTCAGGGAAAGAAAGAGCAGGATCTCAATGAGTAAAGCTGCATAATAGGACTCACTACCTGAGGTCAGTTTGAGCTGGGTAGAAAAACAAACCATGTTGTATATTATTGGGAAAGTCAACAGAATGGCACAGTGTACACACAGTCACACACACACATACACACCACACACAGCAGACATTGACTCCTGTCTACGGTTATATTATGAGTGCAATGAGGGGGTGGCGATGTACTCATCCCTGCCAGAGGCCTTATGTTATGTGTGTTATTATAGTTTCACAGTAGCAAAAACTACAAGCCCGTAGTCCACTCAGTAATCTAACTCCACGTCCTATTTCACCATATAACCATTAGACCAATACAAAGGAGCCAGAGAATAGCTTCCGTGTACGGCCCAGAGATACAGGCAAGGGTACATCGACAAGCCAAGGTCATGGCTTGATATATTTATACTTGCATGTTGTTTTGAGGATCCTTTTAGATTCAGAGAGAATGCTCTCCAAATCAATATTTTAGGTCTAAATGTGTTGTTCCCTTCCCTGACTGAAGTGGAGTCTTTCTACCTGTGAGTCTACAGCCCAAAACATTAGATTGTTTTCCCCCTAAGAGCTTTTTGAACATGGTATCTACGTTTTGACAATCTGTTGACTTTAAACTACTTACTTTCCCATTTCGATGTGTTTATCTGCTTTCAAACCTTTTAGTGAGACAATTGTTTAGTTGTACATTTTTTCTCTTTCTCTGTGTGTTTCTCTCTTTTTTTCTGTCTCTTTCTCACTCTCGTACTCTCCATCTCTTCACCTAGCTTTAACCCTTTCTGTCTTTTTCTACAGACATCCTTCATAAGCCTTGTGTACTCATTAATGATACATTGCATGAATCTCTCACTTCATCTCCTGTCCCTCTCTTTTTATAGCTTTCTGTTTTCTCTCTCTCTCTCTCTTTTTATATCTCTCTGTCTCTCTCCCCCCATCTATTAAATGGAACGACAGAGCAGTAGCTAGTTTCCTATCGCCTTGAGTCTTTTCACTCTTTTTCTCTTCTGCGTTTTTCTAATGAGATTCCCGTCCATGCGGAGCGCTGCTAGAATGGGTTATTAGGGAACTAGAATGTTGTGTTTAGCACTATCCCATTGTAAAGACATTCCACAGCCTACTAATCTGTCCCCCTCAACCTATTTACCAGCATAAAGCCCCAGTCTTAATGCACTATAGGATAATGAAAATCCTGATGTTCATTAATGAAACTCAATTAAAAGAGCGAGGGAAGTGGAGATGGGAGGTAGGAGGGATTGGGGGAGGAGGAGGGAAACAGAGTGAGGAGTCTCAGTGAACCATTGAAAGGCCCCCGCACAAAAGCATTTATTTGACTTTCCTTCCACGGGGACTTGCTGAGCTTATTAAAATGCTTAATCGCTTCCATTAACTTCTTCAGAATGGAGGGAAATGTGCACATTGTCCAAAAACAAAATATGTGTTGTTTTTTTCAGCTTGGAAACAGAGTATGGAGGGTCTGTATAATTGTTGAGGATGAAGACTTAGTAGAGAGTAGTAGTTGAGATGAGAGAGGCAATAGGTGGATGCATGTGCGTGTAAGTTGGTGTGTTTATAGAAGAGGGCACAGTCATCCACTCCTTCAGCTGTAAGTATTGCCTCTCCAGCTCATCCTGCAGCTGGAATGGGGTGAATAAAACTCCACCTTCCATCGTCCTGCTGCATCCCACTTCAAATAAGCTGTCACTAAGTCCTCCATCTACTGCAGTGGTCTGCAGCAGTCATGAGGAAATAGCCTCAAGCAGTTCGGAATCACACATCAACCACACATCAAAACAAAGGGCTAATGTGGAGATAACCTCTAGCCTCTCGTCTTCCTCAGTCGCAGAAAAATGGGACACAGTTCTTAGACCGTCGTCTCATGGTCTTCTCTCCACACAATGACAAGCTAGCTAGCTCAATTATCCCATAATAACGCTAATCTCCCTTCAGGTCCAGAGTGTGAATAGGTGTAATCATCTCGGCTCTATTCACACTGTCTGTCCATTTGTCTGTTCCTCTGTCTGTCTGTCTGTCCTTCCTATTCATGCTTACCATAGGTTGGCGTGTTAAATACCTGCCTGTAATCCCCATCCTACCTTATCCCTCTCCTCAGATCAGCCCTGTACACCACTGTTACATTGTTACAGCCCGCCACCATTTCCCCGCCCTCAGACTAACGTAATCGTGGTCATTTACCGGCACATTTTCTCAATGCCCCACCTAGTAAATTGTCAACAAGCTCCTGTATGGTGTATGGCCCCTGCCTGTAGCTGATGGGGGTGCAGAGGGGTGTGTTATGGGGATGGGGTGGGGGATTTAGCAGGTGACATGCACCATGTTGTAAAGCAGCTCGGCGGTACTCGAGTACACGCACACACACACACACACACACACACACACACACACACACACACACACACACACACACAGAGATACAGGAAAATATGCTATTAGCATGTCCAGGTTGGAGGCTGTGGTAATAAGTGTCAGGGCTGATGTTGTTAACAGGTAGAATACAAACAGCTATCACACAGCTGGACAATAATCAACAGCTGTGTGTGAAGCTTAGGCCTGCGATGTGGAGAGAGGAGGGAGTTCGAGGAGGAAGACTGTGTGTGTTTATGCTTTCCCGGCATGGCTAGCCATCTCTCAGAAGATGTGTTGTGTTGGTATTCAGGAGGAGTACTGTTGGTCCTCTGGAGGAGATAGAGAGAGGGAGAGAGTAACCCTTTCATCTGTTTTTCATGCTTGTTAGCCACTCCTTTCTGTCTGCTTTTTGTTCTCTTTCTTATTCCCCCTCTTTCTACTGTTTGCTTTTTCTTCTAGTGACTCCAGTTTTATCCTCAATCCTCCATGTGCCCTCAATTCCTCCATGCTCCCTTAAACCTCCATGTTCCCTCATTCCTCCATGTTCTGCCATGAGATGATATAGGAGCTATTTGAGAAAGAAACTAAAAAAAACATTATTTTCCATCTTTCTTCAGAACGGAGTCTGTTGCAGAGAAGATGCTCACCAACTGGTTCGCCTTCCTTCTTCACAGGTTCCTCAAGGTGAGTCTAATGCAACCTCCAGTTGAGCAGTTTTAGTAAATCAGGGTTGTGGCAGTGAGAATACATTTTATGTCGTTAATCTGTGTGTTTTCTCTCTCTCTCTCTCTCTCTCCGTATCGCCTCCATCTCTCTCTCTATCTCTCTCTCTCTGCTCTCTATCGATCTCTATCCTCTCTTCTCTCTCATATATCCTATCTCTCATCTCGCTCTCGCTATATATCTCTCATCTCTATCTCCAGGAGTGGGCTGGGGAGCCTCTGTTCATGCTGTACTGTGCCATCAAGCAGCAGATGGAGAAGGGGCCTATAGACTGCATCACTGGAGAGGCGCGCTACTCCCTTAGTGAAGACAAGCTCATCAGACAGCAGATCGAGTACAAAACCCTGGTCAGTACCACTCAGGCAATCAGACAGAAACACACACTCACAAACAGTCAGACTCTACTGACTACATATTTCTCTTTCTCGCACACACAAACACACACACACACACACACACACACATACACACCATCATGTTTTGCTTCCCTCTTTGTCCTGGATAGCTAATGATCCTGTGGGTGCCAGTGCTGCTCCAACAGGAGAGCAGGGTTCTGTGGAGACAGAAACAGGAGCACTAAGGCAGTCATAGGCAGGACATGACAGCGCTAGCTCTGATTGTTCTGACAGGGAACTGGGCTCATTACTCTGCTAATACCCCGCCAGAGATGGAAATTGGTGTCCTGCCGAAGGTGTGAAATTAGATTTTGGGATGGTGGCGGGCATGGAAATAGTATTTTAGTGCCCGCTCCACGCTCCGGGCTGATGCTAATGAGAGAGGTCTCCTGAGAGGTGGACATCTAGACCGTGACAGGACCCCTCAACTCACACACATATTCACAGAAACACACGCGCACACTAACAGGCGTTGAAACACACACAGGCACTGACATAACAAACACACATACCTACATGCGCACGCACATATACACACACACACAGACCCCCCACACACACACACACACACTAACCCCCTCTCCTCTCCTGTCTCCCCCTTCCCCCGACCTGAACTGTGTTAACCCCAACTGAAAATCCGGGAATCCCAGTGAGGTGTTCTGTGACCCCATCACCCGGGGTCAAGGAAAGATTACTGGACGCCTTGCTATAAGAACTGCCCCTCCAAGGGCCCCGTCTGTCGCTGGACCTGGGAAACAGGAAATACAACACACACACACACACACACACACACACCACACTCACATTAGATAAAAAAAACCAGAAGTACACACCACCACCTCCTATTTTGGGGCCTGACTGACTACTTAGGTAAAGCTGGTCCCCTTGCCGGGGGCCCCCCCTTCCCAGACGTCTACCCCCCACCCTAAGACCAAAACCCGCCCCCCAACCACCCCTCCTTTCCCCCAGAAAATCCCCTCCTCCCCCCCCCCCTCCCCCTCCTCCACCCAAACCCCACCTCCTCCTCCCCCAAACCTCCTCCTCCTCCCCCTCCCCTCCCCCCGCCAATTCCCTCCCCCCCCAGCCAATCCCTCCTCCTCCCCTCCCTCCCCCTCCTCCTACCCAATGCCCCCCCTCCTCCTCCCCCCCTCCAGCCAATGCCTCCTCCTCCTCCTCCCCCCTCCTCCTCCACAAGCCTCCTCCCCCTCCTCCCCCTCCTCCTCCCCAAACCCCTCCCCTCCCTCCTCTTCCCCCCGGAGCACACGTCTGCGGCATCCCAAAAATATAAAGTCCATCCCAAAAAAAATCTGATCCACCCAGTATGTCCCCTGCCCTCATTCCCCATCAACACCCTTATTATCTTTTCATTATCGGGTCAACGTGCCCCCTCCATCCCTCCTCTTGCCCTTTCCCCCTCTCCTTAGTCACTTTTTTGAAAGGGTTTTTTCTTTATCTTCTCCGGTACTTTTCCCCTCCCACTTCACACCCCCCCCCCCGCGCCGCCGGGGAAAGGTATTTTATGCAACGACGTATCACTGACACAAGTGCCAATTAAGCCGGCGAGGCTGACTGTGCATACATCTTGAACTTGTTTGTGTGTAATGTTTCATTAAAATGCAAGTCAATCCGGGCGCTGTCTCTCGTCTCCTAACCTAGCGGAGTACACAGAGTGCTCTGTGTGTCTGTAGAACAGAAGGGCTGTTGATTAGCTTTTTTTAAATTTTTTTCAAATTTGGGCCCCTTTTGTTTCCTCAAGAAAACCAAAAAAAAAGTTGCGCAGGGAAACTTTAAATTTTTTTCATCTTGCCTAAAATAAAGGCTGTTATAAAGGGTGGTTCGACCCTGAATCTGATTTGGGTGAAACCTGGTATATAGCCATTAAAACCCCAGATAAAAAAATTATTTTTACTGCTTAGATTGTTGGTAACCTTTATAATAGGGAAAAGGATTTTTTTTTTTTTTCCCTTTTTTTCCTTTGCCTTTTTTTTTTCTTAAAGAAAAAAAAGACCCAAGAAAACAGGGGGAAAAACGGACCAGGTTGTTATTTATTTTGTAAAATTTAAAAATATAAAAAACATTTTTAAAAAACAAAGGCTTAAAAGTAAAAAACCCAGACTAGAAATACTGTATTTGGATGTTTATGTCACATTTTCTTTTGGTTGGCATTTTTTTGTTTGTTTTTTTGTTTTTGGTTTTTTTTTGGGTTGACGCCCTCCTTTTTTTCTTTTTGCCAGGGGGGCGAAGGCTCCGTGGTGCGAAAGAACAAAAACACCACCAAAAAATACGGAAGGAACACACTAATTGACCCCAAAGGACGGTCTAAATTTGATTCTAGACTGAAAACCCCTCAGCCTACCGGGCATCTCTATGTTACTATATCTAACTGAAACCCCCCTACCAGGTACATAACAAATTTTAATTTTTCCCCTTTTCTAAAGGGGAAAAAAAAAAAAGGGGGAAAAAATAAAAGGGAAAAATTTTTTCTTTCCAAAAAATTTTATCCATAAACCCAAAATTTTTGGGGGCCCCACAAAACCCTTTTAAAATTTAAAAAAATAAAAGGAAAAAAAATTAATTTCAAACCAAAAATTAAAATTTTTTTAAAATTTTTTTAAAAAAAACCCCCGATTTAATTAAAACCCCCCTTAGAAAAATTTTTTTAAAAAAAAAAAAATTTTAAATGAAACCTTTTTTCCCCCAAATTTTTTAAGGGGGAAAAGGAAAGGGGAAAAAAATGAAATTTCCCCCCAAAACCTTTTCCCTTTTTCCCCCCCTTTCCTCTGGGGGGGGGGTTAAAAAAAATTTTTTTTAAAAATTTTAAAAAATTTTTTTTTTTTAAAAATTTTTAAATTTTCTTTTATTTTTTAGGGGCCCAAAAAACCTCTCTTTTAGAAAAAAACCCCCTTTCATTTTTCCCCCAAAAAAAATTTTTAAAAAAAAAAATTTAAAGCAAAAAAAAAAAAAAAAAAAGGTGCTTTAAATTTGTTTTCCCCCCCAAAAAAAAAGGTTTTAAAACCCAGAGAAAGGGCCCCTCCCAGAATCACCTTTTTCCCGGGGCCCCTTTAAAAACCCCCCCCGGGGGGGGGCCCCCCTTTTTTGGGGGGGGAGAGGATTGGGGCCCGGGCAAACGGGGGGGGGGCGCCACCAGGGGGGTTTTTTAACCTTTCCCCAAGGGGGAAATAAATCTTCCAGGGCAGGGTTTTTTTGAAAACTTTAAAGTGGCCCAAAGGGGTTGGGCCCCCCCGAAAGTACCCCCCCCGGCCCCCCTAGCCCCCTTCTTTTTTTTTTTTCCTCCCCCCTTTTTTTTTTTCCCCCAAAAAAGATAAGTCAACGGCCCCCCCAAAAAACCCCCTTTTTTCCCCCCCCCCAAGGGGGCCCCGAGGGGCACCGAGAGGGAAAAAAAGGGACTATCTTCTCGGCTATCTTAGCCAGGTACCTCATTCCAGGAAACCCTTTTTATGGCACCAGCCTATGGGTGCTCTTGGCCCTTGTTTCTAAAAGGGGCCCTTTGGTTTTTTTTTCTTAGCTACTTGCCCCCTTTTTGGGCCCCCCAAAAAAGGGGTTTTGATTTAAAAATTCTTCGTTTATGGTTCCCGTTTTTTAAAGGGGAAACGTAATTGTTCCCCACCTTGCCCGTTTCCCCTTTTTTTTTTCCCCTTTTTTCCTCCTTCTCCTTCCCCCGGGGGGAACCCGGGGCAAAACCCCCCCCCCCAAACACCACCCCCCACTTTGTTTCGTATAAGGGGGGCTTACCCTCACTCGAAGCCTCCCGGGGTATGATCTATGCCCCAAACCCCAAAAACCAAAGGAAACCCCGGGCTCAGGGGGGTTTTTTGGGGGGGGATGGTAAACCGAAAACCAAAGGTTAAAGGGGGGAAAAGGGGAAAAGGGGGGTTTGGACCCCTTTTTACTTTTGGGTTGCTAGGTATATTTTTTTGCTTTGTTATGGCCCTCTTTCCCCTTTACTCGGAATTTTGACCGGCCAAAGGGGGGACCCTTGGGGTTGGGGGGGGTTTTGTTTTTTTGGGGGGGGTGGTGGGTTGGGGGGGGGGGGTTTTTTTTTTTGTGTGGGGGGGTTTCCTTTTTCCCCCCCTTAGCACCTGAGAGTGCTCTCTATGGTATCGGTACTACTCTGAGTCTCTATGGTACTACTCTGAGTCTCTATGGTACTACTCTGAGTCTCTATGGTGCTACTCTGAGTCTCTATGGTACTACTCTGAGTCTCTATGGTGCTACTCTGAGTCTCTATGGTACTACTCTGAGTCTCTATGGTGCTACTCTGAGTCTCTATGGTTACTACTCTGAGTCTCTATGGTACTACTCTTTGAGTCTCTATGGTGCTACTCTGAGTCTCTATGGTACTACTCTGAGTCTCTATGGTACTACTCTGAGTCTCTATGGTACTACTCTGTCTCTATGGTACTCTGTAATTGTTGATGGAAGACGTGCAATATGTTAGCTTCCATCCTCTGACAGGTCTCTCTGTTGTTGTTCTGTCGCTTTGTGTCACTCTCTGTCTCCTTCATTTGCCGTGGGAGACGCTGCAGGGTACAACGACACACACACAACACACACACACACACACACGCACACATTTGTTACAGTGATAGAGGAGCGTCTCTCAGCGCTCAATAGCACATCTGAAGCCTGCCTATTGATCATGGATCTGATGCCCTAACACAACACCACAACAGAGGAGACGCACACGGGCTGGACACGGGGTGATTGGAGGGAGGGGGGATGAGTAGAGACAAGAAAGCAGGGGAAGAGAGTAGATGGAGAGAGAAGAGGGGAAAGAAGGGGAGTGATGGAGCCTCTTGTCTATCATTATGGCTGTGATGAACTAGGTAGCTAGGTGTGTGTGCGTGTGTGTGTGATGCCACTGGCAGCTGCAATGCCACTTCTGGCAAGTGTGCACCTTCTGGCACGAAGAGGGAGCACAACTCATAAAGGCCCAGATTGAGAGAATAGAGAGATGTAGATGGTGTGTGTTTGTGTGTGTGTGTGTGTGTGTGTGTGTGTGTGTGTGTGTGTGTGTGTGTGTGTGTGTGTGTGTGTGTGTGTGTGTGTGTGTGTGTGTGTGTGTGTGAAATATTTACATATGCAGAGTTAGTGAACCTCACCCCTGTGACTCTGCTAATTATCACACGTAGGAGAGGAACCAGACAGAGACACATTCAAA